TTTAAGGTCCCTTCCAACCCAAACCATTCTAGGATTCTATAACTCTACACCATTTACTTACTGCATTTAACAGGTTGCCAGAGCCACCTCCCCTTTAACATGAGGGTGTTTTTTGCTTTATCTCCCCCCAGTCCTCCCAAAGAGGATTTTTTCTGAGAGAGAGAGAACTTGAAATCTGCTTTTGGAGCAGCTCCCTGTCACCACCTTCCGCCTCCACGGGGCAGGAGGACCCTCACAGCTGCCCCTCCAGGGACAGATGGTGAGCAAGAGGAAGAGACAGGTTAAGTGGGATTTGCTCAGGACTTCTCCCCCTCCTTCCCCCCCAGGATCCACCTCAGTTTCTCACCTGCATGGAGAGGTGCCGTTTCAGCTGTCGGTACGGAGTAGACGCCGAGGGTGTCAGTGACTTCCCATTTTTAATCAGGCCATAAAAGAAATCCTCTACACTCATGGTCCCATCTTGCTCCAGGTTGTGGAGCACCTCTTCGAGCACCTGCAAGGAGACAGAAATCACATCTGTCACCAAACCACCACAGTGACAACCTGGCACAGAGGAAACACCCTATTCCCAAGGCTCTAAAAAGAGCAAAGCAGGAGTTCTCAGGTACCACATCAGCCTAATGCTGGTACAGCAACCTCCACATGGAAAACTGCAGACACAGACACCACAAAAAAAAGCTCGATGACCATCTTGGAACCTCTATTTAATGAGGCAGCATGAAAAAAAAAGCCTCATTTCATTCTGCTCCCTAGACAGGGTGACCTCAGGAATTCAGCACAACGCACTGAGAGATGCCAAACCCTCAGCAGCTTGAAGTGACCAGGCAAAAAAAACCACAGTAAGACACTGCAAGGTTATAATACATTTGTTTTATGCTTCAGGGCGTGCTGCTTTCTGAAGAGCAGGACCAGAGATGTTCAGATTAGCCCCTCACTATTTCTTTGCCCACAGTTTATATCTTTTCCATTTTCTGCCTTAATACCCTGAAAACATTTCATTGCAGATACTGCAAAGGAATACCTGCCCATACTCATGTTTTATGGAGGGAATTATTACAAGCCATGTTGTTCTAAGATGCAAAAAGTCTGACTTTTCTAATAAAACGAAATCCTAAGTTGACAAGAGACTTTCTTTGCTGAAGAATTCATTTTCTCGTGGACTCTTGCAGCAGGACAGAAACAGCCCAGAGGTCTCCACAAAGTCAAAAGCAACCACCTATGAATATTTAACCCATGTTTACTGTCTAGCTAGAAGATTCCTGGGATTAAGGAGACATGCTTGGAATCCAGGAAATGTTTTTAAATTCCAGTTTCCTCTGCAATTGCATGAGAAGACACGCACGCGACGGTGTAAGGCTGGCAGCTGCCTCCTCCCAGAGCAGCCACCCACATCTGATGGCATGACACCAAAAATATTGCTGGAAAAATCATGGGCTAGAGATGGAAACTCCTTTCTAAGTAGCAACCTGTTCACCAGGACAGATCTGGGGGAGCCACACTAAATCCCAGGACACAGGCAGTGGTGTGAGGGTCTGTACGTGGTCACTCACCTCCCCAGCCACCGTGTGCAACCCGTACTGCTCACAGATGGAAACCAGCTTCTTCCTGTTCAGGTGGCCATCCCTGGTGATCCCCAGGTGCTCACAGACCTCCTGCAGCTTCTCCTCTATCCAGTCTGGGCTGGGGGAGGTGCCAGGGGAGGCGTTCAGGTCGTCCGGGTTCCAGAAGCGCAGCTGTCCTGGAAATGGGAAATTGCTCTGCTTTTTGGGGCGGCCACCAGAAGACCTGGGGGGTCTGCACATCACAGGGGACCTGCTGCTGCGGTGGGCAGAGCTCCTTTCTGGCTCATTTGATCCCATGGGATCATTTGCCTGAGCTCATTCTGCTCAGAGCACACCAGGCATTTTGGGGTATGGATACTGATCCCAGCAGCATCCGAGTCCACCAGAAGGTTCTGCTCAGCATTCAGCTCACATGTGCCACCACAGGGGAGGGAGCCTCATGGAATTGTTGAGGTTGGAAAAGATCTCTCAGATCACCAAGTTCAACTGTTCCCCCAGCACTGCCAAGGCCACCACTAACCCATGTCCCCGAGTGCCACGTCCACACATTTTCATTCCCCCCAGGGATGGGGACTCCACCACTGCCCTGGGCAGCTGTGCCAGTGCCTGACCAGGTTCAGGGTGACCTAGAGCCGGGATGGTGGCCAGGAGGATCTTTGGGAATGTGGCTGAGTCCAATGGTCACGTGGGCTGCCAGCCAGGGGAAGGGCAGCTCTCTATCCAGGCAAAGATGGAGAAGGGACCCCTCCTCCCCTGGGCAGTTAGGGGATCAAGGGAGCTGCAAGGCCATCTCCTGGGGCTGGAAAAGCAGCTTTAGGAATAAAAAACATGGTCTCTTTGGATAGGGTAGGAGTTAGAGAGCAGATGAAATGCAGAAGAGGTGTCGAAGCAATTAAAAGGAAGAAAGTTTTTACAATGAGGATGGTAAAACACTGGCACAGAGAGGTGGTAGCTCTTCCCTGGAAGTTGTTCAAGGTCGGGCTGGACAGGGCTTGGAGCAACCTGGTCTAGTGGAAGGTGTCCCTGACCACAGCAGGGGGTGGAACTGGACATCTTTAAGATCCCTTCCAAACCAAACTATACGGTTTCATGATCCTATGACAACCAGGGAACCTTTAACAACTGGTTCCTGCTGACACCTAGTGCCTGCCGAGCTCCATTACAGCCAGCACCCCCCAGGGCAGGAGTGGGGACCAGGACAGGGGTGCTGAGCTCAGGGACACCAGGACGAAGGTGACAGAAAGGTGAAGGCACAGGTCGTGCCCTCTGAGGGCCCCTGCTTTAGCTTTCACCCCCAGGTGCACCTCCCTGAGCTCTGCACCAGCCAGGCTGGGATGCTCCATGCACCCAGCTGGCCTGAGACCCTCTCCATGTGCTCCCCTGATTCATCTTCAGAGCTGTCAGGAGAACAAGCCACATCCAAGTGCTGCTCTTTGCTCTTACCCTCGGCCTCGTACTCCTCGCTGTCTCGCGTCTTCCAGCGCTGGGGAGAAAACAAAAGGGTCCTGAGTTATTACTATTGCAAGACATCACCCCTCGGAAAAGAGACTCAGAGATCAGCACTGAAGGAGCTGCAGGGCTCCAGCAACGCCGCCGGGCTTTCATCTCCCAGCTCCCTGCGGGCTGGGCTGGCAATCCACGGGCTCTTTGATCCTGCCTTGTTCTCCGGTGGGGAGAAACTACAGTTGCAGCAAGAGACACCCAAAGCCCTGCAAAATGACCCAGGAGAGGTGACAGATCAGAGCCTGGCAGGGGGATGGGAGAGAGGGAGGGGTTCACCCTCCAAGAAAATCATGCTGCTCGTCTTAGAGGTGTTGATAGTCGAGGTGATGGGATGCAGGAAAGATCATAGAGCTGCTAGCTGGGTTATCCTCTCCTTCCAGCACTCTGTTTTTCCCTGTTTTGGCCCACATTTAGCCAAGCCCACTCCAAACCTCCTCCACTAACTGCAGCTCTAGGTCAGGAGACAGACCCGTGCTGTCAACAAACCTGAAGAAAAAAAAACAAAACCAAAAAACCACTCTTTGGTGATCTTAAGCCCTCTGGAAACACCCTCATTCCCTCTGGAAACACCCCATCAGCTCAGGCAGCACCGGGAGCAGGGCAGAAGTACAGGATTTAAGCTGATTCCCTCATGTACTACACGTTGTCTCATCCCTACCACCCTTGTACCAGCCAAGGGTATTTACTCCCACGCCACACGAACTCCTGGTTTAGCAGCAGCCTCGGCAGATGTTGCTCCTCCACCGCTACAACAAGTGGATACTTCTGCCCGCACGTGACTGATGGATTTGGAGGCAAAGTCACCCAGGACATAAAGAGGCTCTAAATCATCACAGAAAAAGTTCAATACGTCTCATTCAGATTACAGCTAAAAGCCATTAATCTACAACGTTACCATGGAAACTGGATTAGGTCACTGGACTTTTTTTAGCTCCGTTGCTTGTTCCCGTTTCAGCTGCCGGACCAGGCAAGGGTTGTTCGCTGCCACAGCACCACAAGGTCCCACCAGAGACCAAAAGCAGGTACCGCCAAATCCCACCCCTGGAAGTGTTCCAGGCCAGGTTGGACAGGGTTTGGAGCAACCTGGGATAGTGGAAGGTGTCCCCACCCATGGCAGGGGGGTGGAAATGGATGATCTTTAAGGTCCCTTCCAACCCAAGCCATTCCATGATTTTATGTAATTACCATCTGCAAAGACAGAAAACAGCCTAAAACCTGCACGAGCTGACACCATCCCAGCCCTTGAGTGCCTGTACATGTGCAACAGCCAACACTGTGTGGAGAGAGGGTCTCTGAGTGCCACCCTGCAGCAACTTATCCTTGTGGTGGGGGGGAAACTGAGGGGAATCTGGTAGTGATGCTCAGAAGGCAGATCCGCTGTGTCCAAGTCTTTCTGCACAAGCAACATATTTATATATATATTTCATAGCACCAGGTCCTTTGACTTCAAGGACGCCTCAAAACCAAGAACCCCAAACCAGAGAAGCTGTGGCACTTCCACCCCTGGAAGCATTTATGGACATAAACCTCGCTGTGTTGCAGCCTCGTCGGGTTGTTGGTGTTTATGGGGTTGTTGTGTGTTGTGGGTTCGTAGAATCCCAGAATGGTTTGGGTTGGAAGGGATCTTAAAGATCATCTCGTTCCCAACCCCGTGATGTGGGTGGGGACACCTTCCACTAGCCCAGGTTGCTCCAAACCCCTTCCAACCCAAACCATTCTGGGATTCTACGAACCCACAACACACAACAACCCCATAAACACCAACAACCCGACGAGGCTGCAACACAGAGGGGGGGGGCCTGCAGGCTGGCAACCCCCCCCCCCAACAGTGACCCCGGGGCGCTCGTGTGACCTCCCTGCCCGTGCCAGGGAGGGCTCGGGGGTCCCTTTGTGTGACGGGGGCTCGGGGTCGGCCACCGCCGGCGGGAGCACAAAGAGGGGCCGGGCCGGGCGTGGGGGGGACGGAACATCCCGATGTCAGGCCCGGCATTGTTCCCCCGGCCCCAGCAGTGCTACAGCTGGCCACGGGTCACACCCAGCAGCCGCCGGGATCCCAGGAATGCGTTATTATTTGGGAGGCGCGTGCTCGGCCGGGCCGAGGAGCAGATGGCCACGGCTTTCAATGCATCTGCAGCCTGTGCCGTTTGCTCGCCGTGGCCTCTCCCCAGAATAAGGCAGCAGCCACCTCTTCTCCCCCCCTGCCATCTGCTCCAGCCAGACAGACCTTTGTTCTCCCCCAGAATATATTGCTAATTAAAATGATGATCAGGAGCGCACGCCGAGCCCGCTCTGCTTCGCGCGGCGCAAGGTGAGCCAGAGCCCCAGCGTTGGCAAATCCCCTTCTTCCCAGATCCAGAGATCAGCTCCCTGGGCTGAGCAGCCGGAGCAGAGATCCCAAAAAGCTGTCAAATCTCCACACCCCATTTTGCCAGGCACCTCCAGCTCCAAAGCACCAGAGTCACATCAGTAATGCACTTTTGCGGGAAGCAGGCGCTATCCTGAGGTGTTATCCACAAACCCTGTGGATAGGACAGGACAACCCCACTTTGGGGGCCTCACATCAAGGACCCAAAGGCAAGGAGTTTCAACCTGAGCCTCCTAGAAGGTTTTGCTCCAAGGCCATGCCATGCTAGAAGCAACTTTTGCAGAAGAAAACACACAGAAAATGGGAGAGAGTGGTTCCACGAGGCACGGAAAGGACAGAGCTGGGATGGGACAGTAGTTTCTACAACCTGAAGGTCAGGCTGGACAGGGCTTGGAGCAACCTGATCCAGTGGAAGGTGTCCCTGCCCACAGCAGGAGGTGGAATAAGATGGACTTTAAGGTCCCTTCCAACCCAAACCATTTTGGGATTCTATGAACCTGCAAGTAGGAGGGACCTTTCCCAGAGCAGAGCCAACAGCTGGGAAAGGGGAGGTGACAGATGCTCTACGGTGAGGTTTGGGAGTCAGCACGGTCAGCATCCATGGGGACAGACTCCTGCAGGTCAGAGGGACCCTCAGGATCCCACCACCACGCCCCACTCACAGCGGGATCGACACCAAACCCAGACCCAGCTGCTCATTACTTTATCCAAAAGCACCTGAAAAACCCCCGGGGGTGGAGGTCACGGAGCCTCCCTGGGCAGCTGATCCCACGCACAGACCAGCCCTCCAGCCTCTCCCCTCGTGTTTACAGCCACGAGGGGAGGGGAGGGAGGGAAGGAAGGAAGGAAGGAATCCTCTCAGACAGAGCCTGAGCCCTTTTAATTGGCACCGCTTGAGAGCAAGCGCCAATTAAGCCACCCTGTCCCAGTTCTCAGGCCGCAAACAGCCCGGGCCGGAGCCAGGCTTGCGGAACGCCGGCGATGTTTGTACACACAACAGCAGAAAACTGGGAAAAGGCTGGTGGCTGTGCCAAGTCCCAGAGAGTCAACGCACCAGGAGTCTCCAACACTTCCCTAGGACCCCTCGACACCTCCCAGCAACTCGTTTCCGTGCATACCAAGAGGATCTGCTTTAGAAGTGAGATAGCAATGCTGATAGAGTCGGGATTTTACAAGTTTAGCCAGGTTTTTTTTGTTTAATTTGCAAGAGAATTAACCATGCCATCACCCCAAAAGGTGCAACAAGCGTTCCCAGCAGGAGACTGATCCACCCCCTGGTTACAGTACCAGCTGGGTTAATTAACTGACCTTGTTAATAAACTACCCTTACACCTCCGTGACAGCTGAAACCGAGGAGTAAGATTAGAGTAGCCTCTTCCATCAAGGGCATGGCTTCCCTAGGGGGTGTGGGTGGATTAACACCGATTCCAAGGTCAGGGCAGCCCATGTGGGCAGCACCAGGAGATGGATGATCATCCCTGCGGGCGGTGAGCAAAGGTCACCAAGAGCAGGGAAAAGAAGCTGGGTCTGATGGAAAAGCTTTTCTTTGAGGTATTTTTTTTTTTTTTTTAAATTTTAAGCTCAGCTGCATGGGAACAACACTGAAAACCTGGAAATTTCTCCCTTGCTTTCCCATGCAGGGTTGGTGGCTGCAGAGCACCCCCCATCTGACGAGTCAAGCCAAGAGATAGAGGAGGGGAGAACGCAGCAGTGCTTCTTCCCACTGGAAAACTCCCACCCTGTGCTCCTGAATCAACAATACTTGGCAACCCAGGGCAGGCTGGAAGCAGCCCAGCTCCAGGGAAATGCCGCTGTGGCCGTACTCTAACACACACCAATCCCAACCACTCGGCTCCTCTGGCTTTTCTGTCGGGGGAAGCAAGAGGTTTCGGGATTGAAAGCACTGGCACAAAGAAAGCCACAAATTTCAGTCACAAAACCAGGAATTAAAAAAAAAAAAAATCTGGATTTTTGAGCAAGTCTAAGTCCTGAGAGCTCCTGGCTGCGGAGCTCTGCCACCCACCACCCCCTTTCCCCCATTCCCTCCGCCAGAGACCTCCAGAGCCACGGGTGGATTTTGGCAGCTGAGCTAATGGATGCGGACGTGCTCCGTGTGCTCCCAGCCCACACTTCGTTAGCCACGGAGGCAGCGGGACAGCCCTTCCCTAATTGCTGGCCCGCTCGGGAGCCAGGAGAGCGGCGAGGCCAGCGGTGCCGGCACATGGAGCACGTCACCACCAGCACCCGGAGCACATCACCCCTGGCTCCTTCCCGACTTCCCACGGCAGCCACGCAGATGGGAATCTGGGGCTGGAGCAAGGGAGGTGCTGCCTGGCATGGCTGATCGATGCCTTTGCTGGGAAGGCTCCAAGGACACCCGAACCCCCTTTGGACGTGGGGAGCGGCGATGCCTGGGGGTGACAAGCCCACTCCCAACGCTCATCCCACTTCCCTGCTCACCTGCTCGCTGGAGGGGATGTGTGTGGGATGTGCCTCCTCGCTCAGAGGCTCGATGACCGTCACCTCAGCAAAGTCCTCCACGGACTCCTGGAACTCCGGCAGGGAACGCCGGCCGTAGCGTTTGCCACCTTTGATGTACTTGGGCTGTGCTTCCGGGGAGGAATCTGCAAAATTCAAGCACACCACACGTGGATAACATGATTTTTTTTTTTCTCAGATCAAGCTCCCAGGGCTGGTTTGGTTGGAATTGCCACCACCATTCCCACTGGGAAAGCACCAACGGCTGCACATTCCCAGGACCACTGCCCTCAGCGTGGTGTTGGGCCTGATGGGTTTGGAAAAAAGCTGTCTCTAAGCGGAATCTTCCTCTTCCTCACCCTTCCCCAATTCCCAGATCAAGTTAACAGGATGGGGAAACGCTCCCTCAACCTTGCCAAGAGCCTCAGACGGAAAGTCCATTAGGCCTCTCCTCCTTGCACTAATCTCCATTAGCAGCGCCGGGGCAGGTTTAATTAGGGACAGCGTTGCACTTAGGCAGCTCAAGTCTCCAGATCCCTCAGACACCTGGGCAGCCGCCGCCGCCGCTTTCTGTGGATTTAAATTTCAGCTCCGTTAAAAGAGTAAGGACAACCTGGCAAGTGGGAAAAAAATAAAAAAATTGGGCAGGTTTGGAGGCAAACGTCTCTCTTGGGGGCCGACACAAGCAGCCGATCCCAGAGACAGTGGGGCAGGTCCCAGCCTGTGCCGAGCAGCCAGTGCCAACTGCGGGACCTAAATAACCCCTTGGAGTCCTCCTCTAATTACAGGGGCTCCAACATTCCCCGGCTCCAGCTTCCCGCAGCAAGCTCCTGCCCTTCGGGGACCGAATTATCCGGGAGCGCTCGCAGACAGGGATCAAAACAAAAAAAAAAAATAAATAAGCACGTTTTTGGGCTATTTTCAGTGAGAAACCACCCGACGTCTGGAGCAGGGGGGCAAATTAAACAGAGGACCAAATTAGCCAGGGATTCAATTAGGGGAAGGCTCTGTGCCACGCTTTGTTTCAGTGTTTGCTAACCTGACTGTCGAAACCCCCCCAGGACTCCATCATCTTTTATTTTCCGCCACTCGCGGTGGCAAGAGCAGCAGCTTTTGAAAATTTTATTTGCAGAGGGCTCTGATATAAAATAAATGCAAGACTGCAATACTAATAAGGCTCAGGGAAGCGGGTCCATCACTGACAAAGGATACACGGGAAGCAGCGGGTCTCTAAAACCCCCCTACCCCAAATGCCTCCTCGGATAATATTCCTTTAGATATGGAAGAAAAGGCTTCAAGCTTGTTAGAGAGGAAAAAAAAAAAATATATTCCACAACTTAGCTATGCAATGAATTATAAAATACACAGGACGAGGAGCGCTTTGATTCCTGAAGCCTTGCACTCCATCCAGCCGTGGTGCAGCTCTAGGGAACAAACCCGGCGCCCGTGTTTGAACAAGGCCATCTTAACAAGATTTGCTGCAGCTGGGACTCAGCACATGAAAGTTGGGAGATGGAGGGAGCCGATAGAAAAATCTCGAGGAGACAGGCTGATTGAGTAAGAGCCCCAGAACAAAAGCAAACCTTATCACTCCTATTAAAGCCTGCCTGGTGGTGAACAATCTCCATCCAGCAGCTCTCTCTGAAATGCTAATATTTGTGTCGACTCATTCACCCTGTTATTTTCTCCCTCCCTCACAAGAGGGCTGGGGGGCTTTGTTTTTCTTCAGGAATCATTTTTTATTCCTAAGACAGGGATGTACCTCCATGCCCATCTGTCTTTGGAAGGATGGGGGGGGGGGACAAGGGAAGGGGAAGAAGCTTTAATTTAGCAACAGTGAAGCTAAAGCTAAATTTCCTTCTGGGTTTCCCAAAGAATCCTGTTTCCAACCCTGCCACACTGACAGTGTGTTTAACCACTGCTGCAGCTGGAAATCCAGCTGCATGTGGTCTACTGGAAGGTGTCCCTGTCCATGGAAGGGGTTGGAACAAGATGGACTTCAAGGTCCCTTCCAACCCAAGCCATTCCATGATTCTGTGAAACACAAGTGCCTTCACACTGAGCTCCCTGCAAGCACAGGAATGGGAACAATGGGAGCGTCTCCCCACTTCTGTGTTTTAAGCATTTGGAAGCTGGCAGCTGATTTCTCTCTCCTGTTTGCTCTGAGCACCCTGGGTGAGCTTGTTTTCCCTTTGTAATTAAAAAACTGTGAAGCCTGAGAACATCCCCAGGAGGGAAAGGTGACCCTTCACAGCTTGAGAGCAGAACATTTGTTCCTGCTTCGCTCTGACTTTCAAAACTGGCTGTGCCTGAGGAGATATCCCAGCTCAGGCATCCTGAAATCCCATTGCTCAGGCTCCCTGAAATCCTGCTTCCAGAGTCAGGGTGTTTTTGTTAGCACTGAGCTGCAGCTCTTCCCCTACCCTGTGCCACACTGGCATAAGGGACCACATCCTGCAGCCCCATCCCTGGAAGCA